ATATGAGCTTCAAAAATGCTACTCTTATTATATATTTATATCATCCCTCTAATAGATATGAGATCATAATATGTTGGTGGATCCTACTTCTATTACATAGATGATACAAATATATAGTAAGCGTAACATTACTTTGAGTTTTATATAAGATTTAACTGTTGTAAAGATTCATTAAATTTTTATATAAATCTAGCTGTTGATTTTTTAGACTACTTAGTACAAAAATAAAATTACAAACTAGGATTTTTCATCTTAATATTTCGGTGTTCATGATTTATCATCACACTTTACTATTTGTTGCAATTCGTACACAATAATTTGTTAACTTTTCGAGACAAAACCGCACATGAGCGACTTGTATGAAAAAAGATTTAGACTTTTTCTTTTGGGGAAGAAAAGATTTAGACTTTCAAAAGTGCCTCACATGCTTGTTCTATGTAAAAAGTATTGAATTAAGTCAATCATTGACACAGTATCTTTGAATTGGTAACTAATAAGCTACTCTCTTTCTATATAAAGCCAAGGTCCAATGAACAGTGTTTTTTGGTGTCACAAACTTCATCAAAAAAATTAGACAAAAACACCTTTCAAACAAAAAACTTCAAAAGCAATCCAAAATAATGCATCAAATGTGGCAGAGGTATTTTCATCATTTTAATAGTGTTTTTTTAATAATTAATTTTTTTGTACATTTTTTTTTAATAATTAGTACCTCACAATAGACTAGAAATAATGTGAATCAATCAGTTATTCATTAAATATTATTTTCTCTATTTTTAAACACGTTCAAAACATCTTAAGAGGCGTGTAATGCCGGTTATAAAAAAAGTTTTTTGCATTCTGATAATAATGTGATTAAATTAGTTGTCAAATGATTGTTTTTTCTTTTCTTTTGAACAAACGATATTATCTACACTAAGGGGAATGAGGTAGGCTTAGCCTCACAATAAGCTAGAATAATGTGATTCAATCAGTTGTTTATTAAATATTATTTTCTTTATTCTTAATATAAATTCAATAGAGGTCGATTTTATTATGTGGATTCAACTGCTTTAATTGGTTTATGAGGGGTTTCTTCTTGTATGATCTAAGATTATTCATTTCCTTCAAATATTTGTCTTTCTTTTTGTCAATTTAAGCATATAAATACATTTAAAAAGTGTAAGTCACGTGTAGCATGCCATGATTCAAAAAAATATATTTTGCATGCACTCACATGCGTGCATGAAGGCTGGTAGTTACATCATGACAACTTGAATTACATGAATTATTGTACAACTTTACTCAAACTACATAGATAAAATTTAGGGTAAAAGACTGTTTACTACCCTCATATTTCGTGGTTTTCAACATTTAGTACATCAAGTTTTTTTCGTCCCAGAGTCATACCTAAAGTATTAATTTTGGGACAGTCTCATACATCCATTAGTCAAACTGTTAATTCTCCCGTTAAGTGATGACGTGGCACCACGTGGACAATGATTGGGCACCACGTGTCATTAAAAATATTAAAATAATTAATTAAATTAAAAAAAACCTTCCCTTCTCTCCCCGCCCCCAACCCACAGAAGATGAAGAAGAAGAAGGAGGAAGAATAAAAAATAAAAAATAAAAAAAACCAAAGAAGAAGGAAGAACATAAAAAAAAATAAAATAAAATAAAAAAACCCTAAGAAGAAGAAGGAGGAGGAAGAACCCAAAAAAAAAAAAAAAAAGGAAAAACTAAAGAGGAAGGAGGAAAAAAAAAAAACCGAAGAAGAAGAAGAAAAACCGAATCTGCAACCCAGAAGAAGAAGAAGAAGGAGGAAGAAGCCTTCCCCTCCCCCGGCGGTCCCCAACCCAGAAGAAGAAGAAAAAAAAAAAGAGAAAAACCGAATCTACAGAAGAAGAAGAAGAAGAATGAAGGAAGAAGAAGAAAAAAAAATAGCAGCCCAAACCCAGTTCGTCCCCTCCCCCACCCTGCTACCGCGAACGCAAACCCAGACCATGAACTCCATATTTTTGGGATTTTCAGTGTGGGTGAATTTCGAAAATACTTTGAGATGGGGAGTTTGAGTTTGAGATGATTTTTGGACTGATTCTGTGGTAGATCTCCATTAATCTAGAAATGACGAACTGGGTTTTTTTTTTTCCTTCTTCTTCTTCTAGGTTCTTGTTCTGGGTTGGGGGCACGGGGGGAGAAGGGTTGGGTGTGGGGGGAGGGTGGGTACGGGTTGCAGAGTAGAGAAGGGAGGGTGGTGGTGCAGGTGTAGAAGAAAGAAGGGAGGGAAGGAGTAGGGTTGCAGAATAGGGAAGGGAGGGAGAAGGTGCGGTGAAGACGAAGAGGTGGGTGATGGGAGGGTGGGCACGGGTGGGATTGGGTGGGATTTGGGGAAGATGAAGGTTTTTTATTTTATTTATTTTTAATTTTATTTTATTTTATTATATATATATTTTTTATTTTTAAATTTTATAAATAATTTATTTTTAATTTCCACGTGAATGACACATGGTGCCCATTCATTGTTCACATGGGCGTCACGTCACAGTTAACGAGAGACTTAACAGTTTGACTAACGGATGTATTAAGACTGTCCCAAATTTTACACTTTAGGTATGACTCTGGGACGAAAAAAAACTTGATGCACTAAATGTTGAAAACCATGAAACATGAGGGTAGTAAACAGTATTTTACCCTAAAATTTAAATATTAACATTCTTTTTGTTTGTAACAATGCAATATTATTTACTATTCTTATTCACGAGAAAGCAAATTTGAATTTTTGTGCATAAAGAGTTCGTTATCCTAACCAAGTGTCATGATAAAACCTCTCTTTAATCGGAGATACCAAGTGACTAGTGTTTCTTTAAAATTTAAACCAAAAGAAAATTCAATCTTTAAAAATAAATAAATAAATAAACTTGATTCTTTGTATGTAAGAAGTCATTGTTCTCGCAGACGATCGTTGTTTGATACGAGCATTAATTAAGTTATTTTTGTACATGTAGCTGACTATAATTTTGCAAGTAAAAAGTGAAAAAAAAATTGTAGCAATTGTCCCTCAATTTTAACCCAATTGAAATAATGGTCCCTAGACTAAAAATCTGTAACCATTGGTCCCTTAACTCGTCAAAACGTGCAACTATGATCTTTTTCCTCAACTCTATTAGAACGTCCATCAAAATGAGTCATGTGTCATGCATGTAAGGCTGAATCAATAGGCAAATATGAAAAACCAAATGGGAAAAATTGTAGCAATGGTCCCTCAATTTTAACCCAAATAAAGAAATGATCCTTCAATTTTAACCCAATAAGATCAAAGATCCCTCAACTTTAACCCAATTGTTGCAATAATCCTTCTAACATGACTCATTTTGATGAAATTTTGATGGGATTGACGAAAATGATTATAAATACATGTTTTGATGAGTTAAAGGACCAATGATTATGAATTTTTAGTTGAACGCTCATTGTTCCAATTGCGTTAAAGTTGAGAGACCATTTCTACGTTTTTTTTTTTTTTTTTCTTTTCATTTTCTCTCTGTTTGGTGAAAGTGTTTCTCTCATTGTGAGAGTCCTCCCTTCTTGTTTTTCTCCTCCTTGTTGCTGGCCCTAGCTATGGCTAGGGTTGGTGGCAATCCTCTTCTCTTGCTTTTTCTTTTTCCTTTTTCTTTTCTTCTCTTGTAGCTTCTTTTTCCCCTGTCTTTTGGTTTAATCGTCCCTTTCCTCCAACCTATTATGCATCTGCTTTTATTGTGCTTAGCCCCTACTTCCATTATCCACTTTCTTCCACCTCTAATCCACTCCCTTTCCTTAGCAATCGATTCCATCCTACATCGATCTCGCAATCTTGTTTGTTACCCGCTTTTCTTCATTGCGATTTCTTGTAGTTAAAAAGCGATTTTTCACGGTTCTTCAGGAAAGTGTGTAGAGCTTCAACTCAGGTGTTTACACTACCTCCTTCCCTGATTGGTTTCTTTCAATGTGCGATGGTAAATGATGTGGTGCTCATCGAAGGAGTTCGGAGTCTTCCTTTTAGCCTTTTTTGGGGCTCTGCATGTTTTGATTTCTATTGATTGCAGGAGACTCTGGTTTCAAATGGCTAGAAAGCAACGGTCCTGGCACTGGTTAAAAGCTGCTAGGTTCTTCCAATGTTTTTTCTGTGTTGGGCTCAAAAGTCTGTTTTTGGGCTTTTCTTTTTGTTTCCTTTGGTGGGCCATATTTTGACTATGCATATTGTTGTTGCGCCTCTTCTCTTGTAATTATCTTGTGTTGGTATGAAATTACCTTTCTCTCCAAAAAATATATATATATATATTAATGCGACTTCATGTGTCATAAAATTTTTGTACGAACATGTTATGGATTAAAAACAAAAAAAAAAACGTAAAAGCAAAGAGCCACTATATGATTAACAAGCTTTGGAGAACTGAGATCTAAAATTGATGACACCTACTAGTTAGTTTGTGAACATCGGGGAATGACACTGTTCTCATAAGAAGCCAAAGGCTAATTTCATATAAGGCAAGACATTGACAAAGGTAACTACCAAACTAAGAGTTATGGTCATGGTCGAGAATTGGAAATGGTCGAAAATTCTACAGTACTCTGGAGTATCATATATTCGATAGTTTTTAACCGTTTAGATCTTGTAGTTGTATCTTTAACTAAGGATTTAAGGATTCAAAACTCCATAATACAGTAAAAAAATCTTGAAATTGGTTTCTTCAACCATTAAGAGTTTCGGTGGGGAATATGGGTTCTTCATGGTGGAATTGGAAATTTACTCATGGAGCTTTAGTTGCTTGAAAGATGTAGGAAATTGTTCAAAAGAGTAGAAATCTAAAGTATGTCATCGCACAAGTCATCTGCTCATGGAAGATGGTTTGGTGCCATTGGGCATCAAAGAGTAGGGGCTAAAACGCTGGTATGGGTTTTGGTAAGTCCCACACCGCCTAGTGGAAAAGAAACAGCTAGCCCAGGGGTATAAAAGATAGCAGCATCCGGATGCCAAACCCACGGAGCCATGCGTCGAGTACAAAGCGAACTATTCTTTCGCCTTTTACTAAAGAATACCGTGTGCTTGTCGCCACAAGTGGCATACGCCTATTTTTTAAGGGTTGCACCTTTGTGGGTGACCCTAAAATTTCAGTTAACAAATTGTGGAATTTTCTGTTGTTTATCTAATTAATTGAGATGTAAATTCTTATTTTGCACGAGAGTGATGCAACTCCGTTACTTTAGCTGTTTCCACAACACTTGACTTGCACACAGCGAGATGAATGCTCTCACTTACTTGAGCCCCCTCATCCGGTCTCTGAGGTTTAGGAAGCTCGATCAACCAATCCTCTAATAAAGATGTAAAGAAATCTTCAACATCATCATTTCTAAATGAATATTCTTTTGGTTTGTGTTCTTTTAGGATTTTAAAGACACTTAAGACTTTGTGACTTACACCCTAATTTTGGTTTTGGGAAAATTGCTCAAATAATGCCAAAACTCTTGAATTTAATATAAATAACCCTCTGAAACATCATGTTATGTCGCAAATTGGCACCACCAAAATTCACTAGCCCTTTTTATAATGTACTCTAGTCATCTATTGCGACTAGAGTACTTAAAAACAATTATTCTATCAACATACACTATTACCAACAAAACTACATACGTTTGTGCAGCTTCTTGTTTATCTCAAAAAGCTCAACACTCTCATCCTAGTAGAGTAAAATGTCGAGAATTTTTGCTTGTCACGCACCACATTTGACAAAAATCCATATGGAAGTAGAAATGCATCAAATTGCAACACTATATTTCCCTTTGATTTTTTTTAAACCTAAAAGTCATAGTATCATTTAACCCGTTTCTACGTGAAATTTTTTCTCTCTCAATCTAATATCAAGCGTCCATGGTTGATCAAACGGTGTTAAAATGCAGCGCACCTAAGTAGTCAAGATTTCTAATTCTAGTATACTTTTGGATTCTTTATACATCGAAATTTTTAGTCATCAAACTTTTTATTAAGCTTTCTATGTATAAGTTATATTGTCAAAACTTCTAGTACATAAGATATACTTAAACATAATAAAATTTTCTTAAAATATCATTGTTGAAGAACAACTTACATAGCACATGACCGCCACATAGTATCATGTGCCAATGAAATAAGGACACATGGACAAAAATTTCATTGACACATAATACTATCATAATGGTGTACCAGTACATTGTAAAATGACCTCTTGAAGAGCTTTCACAAGCGGATGGGGTTTATCTTCAATAATCTAGTAGTTTGGCTTTTTATTTATTAGATTAATAAAAAAAAAATAAAATAAAATATCCTCGTTTTAATCATGACTGCTCATTTTTCGTCAGAATATATAATTTCAACTATTGCAGAAAAATTATAGTATGCATAAAAGTTCGAGAAAGGAGCCTCTCGTACAAGCAATAGACAAGTGTGGAAATGAAAGACCCACAAACCCAAAAATTCCATGGAAAAATGTCTAGCAAAAGCCAAAACTGATTAATCAAACTCAACTATTACTAATGCCTGTGAAGCTTCCTTAGTCACTTTAAATATGAACATCCAAATATTCTAATTTTTTTTAATAAACGATATTATCTACATTAAAAGAAAATAAATTTTGTCTCATAATAGATTAACAATAATGGGATTCAAATTTATCTTTAACGAAAATCGAACCTAAGACATCTCACTTACAAATGAAGAGGAATACTACTAAACCGTAGTATTAAGTGGTAAATATTTTAACTTTTTGCTTTGTGTGAAATAAATTCACTTATCCTCTTAAGTCATGGACTCATAGACATTCGCCACTCTGCAGGTGCGTTAAGCATCTATAGCCCTTGCCATTCATAACCCATTATTAGCTTCAGATCAAACCATAGGTCCAGTTAGAGTAATGTTACACTTACAACATATTTGTATCATCATTTTTACAATCATTATAAGGTAGAGTTTACTAACACATGTAGCTCCCATTTCTATTAGAGATAATTGAAATGATGATGCAAATATGTAGTAAAAGTAAAATTTTTGGTCCGGTTATAATGCTACATCTTAATCAGTGATATGAGCTTCAAAAATGCTACTCTTATTATATATTTATATTATCCCTCTAATAGATATGAGATCATAATGTGTTGGTGGATCTTACTTCTATTACATAGATGATACAAATATATAGTAAGCGTAACATTACTTTGAGTTTTATATAAGATTTAACTGTTGTAAAGATTCATTAAATTTTTATATGAATCTAGCTGTTGATTTTTCAGACTACTTAGTACAAAAATAAAATTACAAACTAGGATTTTTCATCTTAATATTTCGGTGTTCATGATTTATCATCACACTTTACTATTTGTTGCAATTCGTACACAAGAATTTGTTAACTTTTCGAGACAAAACCGCACATGAGCGACTTATATGAAAAAAGATTTAGACTTTTTCTTTTGGGGAAGAAAAGATTTAGACTTTCAAATGTGCCTCACATGCTTGTTCTATGCAAAAAGTATTGAATTAAGTCAATCATTGACACAGTATCTTTGAATTGGTAACTAATAAGCTACTATCTCTCTATATAAAGCCAAGGTCCAATGAACAGTGTTTTTGTGTCACAAGCTTCACCAAAAAAATTAAACAAAAATTCCTCTCAAACAAAAATCTTCAAAAGCAATCCAAAATAATGCATCAAATGTGGCAAGGGTATTTTCATCATTTTAATAGTTTTTTTAATAATTAATTTTTTTGTACAATTTGTTTTTTTTATAATAATTAGTACCTCACAATAGACTATAAAAAATGTGATTCAATCAGTTGTTCATTAAATATTATTTTCTCTATTTTTAAACACGTTCAAAACATCTTAAGAGGCGTGTAATGCTGGTTATAAAAAAGGTTTTTCGCAAGCGGATAATAATGTGATTAAATTAGTTGTCAAATAATTGTTTTTTTCTTTTTCTTTTGAACAAACGATATTATCTACACTAAGGGGGAGAGGGTGGGCTTAGCCTCACAATGAGCTAGAATAATGTGATTCAATCAGTTGTTTATTAAATATTATTTTCTTTATTTTTAATATATATTCAATAGAGGTCGATTTTATTATGTGGATTCAGCTGTTTTAATTGGTTTATGAGAGATTTCTTCTAGTATGATCTAAGATTATTCATTTCCTTCAAATATTTGCCTTTACTTTTTTCAATTTAAGCATATAAATACATTTAAAAAGTGTTAAGTCACGTGTAGCATGCCATGATTTTAAAAAAATGTCTTTTGCATGCGCTCACGCGCGTGCATGAAGGCTAGTAGTGTCACATCCCGACCCAGGGCGGATCACTTATCGGGCCTGCTCCACCACCGTAGCACGATATTGTCCGCTTTGGGCTTACCATTCCCTCACGGTTTTGTTTTTGGGAACTCACGAGCAACTTCCCAGTGGGTCACCCATCATGGGATTGCTCTAGCCCCCTTCTCGCTTAACTTCGGAGTTCCTACGGAACCCGAAGCCAGTGAGCTCCCAAAAGGCCTCGTGCTAGATAGAGATGGAAATATACATATAAGAATCACTCCCCTGGGCGATGTGGGATGTTACAAATAGTTACATCATGACAACTTGAATTACATGAATTATTGTACAACTTTACTCAAACTACATAGATAAAATTTAAATATTAACATTCTTTTTGTTTGTAACAATACAATATTATTTACTATTCTTATTCACGAGAAAGCAGATTTGAATTTTTGTGCATAAAGAGTTCGTTATCCTAACCATGTGTCATGATAAAACCTCTCTTTAGTCGGAGATACCAAGCGACTAGTGTTTCTTTAAAATTTAAACCAAAAGAAAATTCAATCTTGTAAAAAAAAAAAAAAAAAAAAAAAAAAAAGCTTTATTCTTTGTATGTAAGAAGTCATTATGCTCGCAGACGATCATTGTTTGATACGAGCGTTAATTAAGTTATTTTTGTACATGTAGCCGACTATAATTTTGCAAGTAAGTAAAAAATGAAAGACAATTGTCCCTCAATTTTAACCCAATTGAAATAATGGTCCCTAGACTAAAAATCTGTAACCATTGGTCCCTTAACTCATCAAAACGTGTAACTATAGTCTTTTTCCTCAACTCTATTAGAACGTCCATCAAAATAAGTCATGTGTCACGCATGTAAGGCTGAATCAAGAGGCAAATATAAAAAACCAAATGAGAAAAATTGTAGCAATGGTCCCTCAACTTTAACCCAAATTGAGAAATGGTCCCTCAATTTTAACCCAATATGATCAAAGATCCCTTAACTTTAACCCAATTGTTGCAATAATCCTTCTAACATGACTCATTTTGATAGAATTCTGATAGGGTTGACGAAAATGATCATAGATACACGTTTTGATGAGTTAAGGAACCAATAATCATGAATTTTTAGTTGAAAACTCATTGTTCCAATTGCGTTAAAGTTGAGAGAGACCATTTCTACGTTTTCATTTTCTCTCTGTTTGGTGAGAGTGTTTCTCTCGTTGTGAAAGTCTTCCCACCATTGTGTGAGTGCCCTCCCTTCTTGTCTTTCTCTTCCTTGTTGCCGGCCCTAGCTATGGCTAGGGTTGGTGGCAATCCTCTTCTTTTTCTTTTTCTTTTTCCTTTTTCTTTTCTTCTCTTGCAGCTTCTTTTTCCCCTGTCTTTTGGTTCAATCGTCCCTTTCCTCTAACCTCTTCTGCATCTGCTTTTACTATGCTTAGCCCCTACTTCCATTATCCACTTCCTTCCACCTCTAATCCACTCTCTTTCCTTAGCAATCGATTCCATCCTACATTGATCTCACAATCTTGTTTGTTACCCCCGCTTTTCTTCATTGCGATTTCTTGTAGTTAAAACGCGAATTTTCACGGTTCTTCAGGAAAGTGTGTAGAGCTTCAGCTCAGGTGTTTACACTACCTCCTTCCCTGACTGGTTTCTTTCAATGTGCGGTGGTAAACAATGTGGTGCTCGTTGAAGGAGTTCGGAGTCTTCCTTTCAGCCTTTTTTGGGGCTCTGCACGTTTTGATTTCTATTGATTGCAGGAGACTCTGGTTTCAAATGGCTAGAAAGCAACTGTCCGGAGGCGGTGCTGGTTAAAAGC